ATAAATAAATAAACAATAAAATAACAAAAAATGACAAAACTATTTTATTAAAGTTATCAGTGAAATTACTATTGCCATGAAAGACTGGATGCATATGGTACTTAAGAAGAAAGCATGCATCTTAGCTGGGCCTTAGTCTAATGGTATCCTCATATTTCAGAGTCTAGAATCCTTAATTTTGTGGTTTCAGAAACAGTTGACTTTGAGACTGCATCCAGAGCTGAGGAGCCTCAAATGACTACCTTAAACTTACTCGATCCTCAGAAAGTGCTGCTGGGGGCAAAGGAGACCTTTTCAGTGGCCAGAAAACTTAAATCCTCAATCTAAGAAGCCAAATTCTTAAGTATTAGAATGCCTAGAAAGACATAATAATCAAAAGTTAATTAAGGGAGCAGAGAGTCTGGCAAAGGAAAGTAGGTATCAAAAACAAAACATTGAGTGCTACACTTTCCTAGGGTCCACATATTCCTTTACTCTTCCTTGAACAAAGTCTTTTTTTAGACAAGAAACAACAAAACCAATTATCCTTTAGCTTTCTCAGTACAAATTCATTCCAGCCTGCATCTTCCAATTGGAATTGGGTACTACCAAATGTTCACCACCCTACACTAATGGCATTCTCTACTCACTATTACAATTGGAAACCTCACCCACGTTGTGTTGATGTCTAATAGAGAATTCATTAACAAAAGACAACCAACCTTCTTTCCAAGTTCTAAAGATACGTACTTGGTCCTTTACTTATCATATAGTTAAAATCTAGCCTTATATTTTATAACGTTGCAAATACTTTTCTAGTGACGAGTCCTACAGAGGATTCAGGTACTCTATGACTAGATTTCTCAAAATTCTGGTGACAGCTAAGAACTATGTCATGTATGTTTGTATCTTCCTTGTGGAAATTTAAAACATAAAAAGCAATAATACTGTGAAGTTCCTCAGAAGAGAAATAGGTCGTACCGCTACAGCTAGGAGATTATAGGGAAAGGGTGTTGTAGGGGTAAGAACTCTTTTTCCTGAAGACAGTCTCTAAATCATTTTAAAGGACATGGGGCCTTTTTAATGAAGGCGCTTCCCCCATGGTGGACCCTGGCTGTGTTTCTGGTTCGGACCACATTAGTCTATGAATGTTCTTTATGTTTGGCTGTTTAAGAGCAGAAAAGTAGATGATTTCCTGGAAAATTCAAGTCAACTTCTTTTAAAGGATTGTTTGATATTGATAATTTATTGTCTAGTGTACTAGGAGCATCTGTTCAGTTATAAATTAGGGAAGTCCAGGGCCAAATGTAGTAGATTATAAGTGATTAAGTATATGTGCAAAGTACAGAACATCAGATTTCTGATTCATTTGTGCATTCTATAACTTTTACTTATCCACTGCAGTAGCTCAATTAAATTACCTGAAAGCTAAAGAAGTTAAACCAAAGAAAGTCTCACTTCAGCAACTATTATAATTGCCTTTAGAAACAATGTCAAATAACATTATACAGGCAACTCTTAATTATGCATGTGAAAACAGCCCAAGGATACAGAAATAATTGACATTCACAAGTAATCCTCAAATTTTATTTTAACTAAGAGTTTAAGCCTCTCCCATGACTAAAGCTCTTCCCTGAATATTGAATATTGCAAAACTGACTGATGAAATGTTTAACTTTGCCATACCCTGACTACCCTTTGGTTATAACACAAAATAGTAGTTACTCAACCAAAGAGAGAGAGAAGAAATGCAAAGGGGTAGATAATCCACAAACTGGATAACAAAATCCTAAAAAGTTAGACTCACTTGTCGTTGTAAACATCATTATTTATAAGTCTTTGTAAGACAGATTTGCACACTGCTACTTGTTGGAAGTTGTGACTCAGTCATCTCCCTGCAAATTAAGTAAACCTAATTTCCATTGCTAAAAGTTGCATATGTTGGAATCCTACCATTTATTTCACAAAGATATTTGCAAAAAACTACCTCATTGTGTTAGTCTCATGTTAACAATCAAACTATGTCATTACAGAAATCATTTTAATGAGAAAAATGACGGGATGCTTTGTTACCATTCACTAATAAGGACACTAGATAACTTTATATTTGATAAAGATAGCTCAGAAAGAATTATTCAAATCATTTTTTAATTTAAAAAAGGAGTATTACTGGAAAAAGTAGCCTGTCAGAGACACGAAAACAGTATAAAACCTCATTTATGACACTAATGTACCAAATATATTACATTCAAAGTGATTTCAATCTACTCAAATTTATATTCCTATAAAAATCATTTTTGCACCCAATAAAATACTACATATTTTACTTAATCTTTCAACTAAATTCGTCAAAGCTCTCTGCAACATGGATGCGTACTGATTTTGAGTCAGGACAAGTTACTCGGCTTGTCAAAGCTCACAAAATGAATCATTTTTGGATCTCTGAAATCTTGAATTTAAGTTGGAGGGATTATAGTTGGACAAAAAAATAAGACAAGGTAGATTTGGAGTTTCCTTGCTATCTTTAAGTATAAAACAGATAACCACTTCTCTGTTAGTCGCCTGAAGAAAGGAGTTAAGTGTCTTTTTCTCATGAATCCTCCCCATCTCTCCAGTACCGTCAACCTATTTACCTACAGGAGGGGAGCTATAAAGCCTTACACAAGAAATAGAGAACCTAATTAACCACAAAGGGTTACCTAATTTTTCTGGTACTCCCATTAATAATCGCTTAACTCTATCTACTTTCTTCCTAACATCTCTGAGCCTTGTCAGGTTATCAGATCATTTAGTTGCTGAAGAAAAAAAAAGCAATTATTATTATTTATCATTATTAAGTAACCAAAATTGAAACTATCCAGGAAGGTGATGCTACGGAAACTAACTACAGGATCATGAGTTGGGTATTCTGAGATTAAATTCCTTAAAGTCCAATGGCAGCGGCCTTTCCCTAGTCTCCTAAAGTTCCCCGATTGAATTTACTGGGACGGTGTTCTGAAAGCTTGGGGGCTTATTTAGGAAAATGTATTAACTGAAAAGAGGGTTGAATCAATGTGCTGTGTCCCCTTAACATAAAAAGCAACCTTCCACCCAAAATTTATTGAGTGGTTACTAAGTACGATGCCCTAGGAAGTCTCCTAACTCTTCTAACAGATACGGGGCACCTTACACTTCTAAAAGCCGAGAAATTCAGTGAGCAGCTATCAAGCGGGCCCGCGGTGGCAGAGACGCCACCTTAAGGTCCAACAGACTCCAGGCCGGCTCGGCGGCCCCAAGGCGCCCCCTGTGGGAAGCCCTCGCCTTCGCCCCCTACAGCCGCAGGCCTGCAGGCCGCGCCTCCACGGGAAGGATACGTTCCAGGTAGTAGGCGCCCTCGGCTGCCACCGCATCCGCCGCGTCCCCGGCTGCCGTCAAACCCATGCCCAGAGCTTCTTCCAGAACGCGCAGAGCGGAGCTGGGCATCCCTTTCTCAGCAGCCATCTCTGGCGCTCTGAGCCCCCGCCCCGAGCGGGCCCGCCACAGTCTCTGAGGGCAACCGCTAAGACGCTTCCCGACTGCTCCACGCAGCTCTCGCGAGATCCCGGCAGTTCCTCGCCTCCTCCCTCTGGACTAGTCCCGGGCATGGAGGAGCTGCCCCGGAGTCCTAGGCTCTGTTGCCCCCTGCGCTTCCACGGTTACCCTGACAACGTCGTTACCTAGTTACCACCTGAAAGCTTGGGACTCAGCTCCTGGAAGGCACAGGATGCAAGAAACAGTTGACTTGGATTACATTTTCTGACAGAGGCAGCTTGGTTGCCTTTCGTTTTGACCTTATCATTCCTTTCTCACTTTGTATTCTTCCCTAAATTGCCTTTCTCGTGGTTCTTACATGCTCATTGTCAGTCCTCGAATTTTAGATGTTCGTGGAACCCCAAGTGTTTGTTCCCAGGGAAAACTACTAGAAAAGAGGAATATGCTCAGTGCTTGGAGGGGAAAAAAAGAAATGGAAAAAAAAAAAAGTTCTAGAAATCACAATTGAGAGACTGACTCAGGGGAGCTATCAGACATTTTTCAGATCCTTAGCAACAAAGAACTAGAGTGGTCACCTTAGTCAATTTCTTTCTTTTGATCTTTAATGTATTTATCTGGACATCTGTTGACTTTGGTTTCATACACTGGGACTTGGAATGGTATTTGTAGTACTGATTCTTGCCTAGGTAAGGCCACTTTCATAAAAATTTTGCCCAATCATGGGTAGTCCTATTACCATGACAGGATCGTCCTCAGATTTATGTTTCGTATGTATCAGAAGCATCACCAAGGCCCTTTTCCTTGAAAATTCTTTTTCATTCCACATTTCTTGATGAAAACTGGATGCCAAACAGTGACTCTATGAATGCTCTCATTTATTACCAAAAAGTAGTGGTAACCTCCTAAACAGGTGGTTGAAAGCCTGGGTACTGGAGCCCGAGGTATTATTCAGAGACTGGTTCCACTACTTACTAGCTATGAAACCTTGGGCAAACTACTTAATGCCTCTAGGCCTCAGTTTCCTCATTTGTAAATAAAGATAATAATATTACCTACCTCAAGGTGTTACAAGGGGTAAAACAACAAAAAACGTTAAGAACCTACCAGGCACATAGAAGGCACTAAGAAATGTTAGGTGTTATTTCCATTAAATTTAATTGTTTGATTTTGTTTTGTTTTTTAGAATAATCAAGGGTCATAATTAGACATAATATTTGGAGAATTCTTTCCCATATATATTATTTTACTAGCTCACTTTTTGTCCTTGACTTTTCACATCAAACATATCCTGAGTACTCATTAAATGCAAGGAACAATTTTAGGAGGCTGAAAATGCAAAAGAATTCTGCAATTGAGGAATCCACTGCTTTTGAAGAAAACCTGACATAAAAATTTGATGTAAAGGAGGCTTTATGTCAGTCGTCGATATTGTTTCCTGTAAAGCTAGCCTTGAGAAATAACCTGGGTAAGGAATGGTCTGGTCCTTACATTTCTGGCATACTCAGCAAGACATGTAAGTATGAAAGAATCATGGAGGAGAGTGTCTTGGAAAAATTAATGTTTACTTCAATTTTTTTGTTTGTTACAATGGCTCATCTTTTTCTTAATTTTTAGACATAATGTAGTATGTCATCTTCTACAGACAGTTTTGTCTCCTGGCTCCTCTGTATGACCTTAATTAACTTGAGCTCTCTGAGCTTAGTTTTCTGCCCTCTAAACCAGAGACTCTAATACCTACCTTACTAAAATGTAGAGAGTAAATGAAAGGAAAAGTAAAAAGTACTTATCATAATGTCTAGTCTGTCGGATGTTTTCAATAAGTAACTGTTAATAAAATTTGCTTAAAATATTGAGTGACTATGCTAAGCCCAAATTGAATATAATATTTGTAAAAAACTTACAATATGTAGGATCATTGTTAAGATGAAACTTAAATATTTTTTAAAATATTTAACACTTCAAAAAGGAAAAGATTTTAATAGAGTCCTAAAAATATACGAGTAAGTTATGGCCAGTATCCACTGCTCAAGGTAGAGGAGAAGAGGGAAAGACTCTTGTCAAAAGAGCTCAAAAGAAATCTTATAACTCAAAGAAGTATCATTAACTACGTTCCTCAAAACTAAAAAATTGTAAGTCTAATTCTATAAAGTTTCCAAATACCCAGACTTTGAATTCAGAGTTACCAGTTCGATTATATTCATTTCATGAATTTCAAATTTAAGAAGTCACCCAAGATATTTGTGGCTCAACTACAATTTGAAACACATTTTACAGGAACCTAAGCTGCGGTGCTTTTAAAAATTCAAATTAGAAGCAACTTTAACATTTTATTTTTAAACCTTTTGGTCTCTACAACAGATGAGCAATATTATTAAAAGCAATGAAATAACAGCAAAAATAATCTTAACAAATATAAGCAGAACCAGAAATTGTCTTCAAATAAAAACAGGACATGGTCTTTTATGGGGTTTGCTAATATCTTAAAACTAGCATGCCTTTGCAAGGAATAAGTTTGAAAATGCATGTTACATTAGAATTGGTATTCTGTTAATTGCTGCTTTAATTAAAAAAGGGTGTGGAAGCCTTACGAAGAGAAAACACAAAATCTTCAGTTCATAGTAGTGGTTTGAGTTATAATGCATTCCATCCTATAGTATTTCCTTTTTAATATATTTTATAAATTTCCTTGAAGTAGAAAAAAAAAGAAAGTGCCTTAACATTTTGATTAATGAACAGTAAACTGTCTACTTTCCCTTTAAATGTGTTCCTCAAAGAGGTGAATAAAGAAAACCAATGAAAACTGTAAAATGAAGCAACAACCACAAAGGACAACAAATTTTATCTCCTCCCAGCCTAATTGCTCCCTTTGTGTAAAAGTGAAATTATTTTTAAAAGCAAAACCAGAATGGAATCTGATAATGAATGTACTCTTTGCTTTTGTAGTTTCAAAGCAGAAAATAATCACATGCAAAAATATAGTAAAGTACTATCCAATTTTAAGAAGTTATGAGCATTCATTTGCTACAGATAGAGCTCAAACCATTCACTGATGCATCTTTTTATAAAAGTAGCTATCCTGTTTTCTTTCAAAACTTCACAGTAAGTGGTAGCCAATTTTAGAGTTTCTGAATCCATAAAAGTAATGGTAATTGACTGTAGTGGAAGATTATCATTTCAACCATGCAGAGTATAGTTTTCCTTTTTCACTAACTATGATTTGAAAATCCATTTCTTCAGTGTTCTCAGCCCATGGGGTTCAAACAGGTTCAATCCTCTGTCTCTGGTGAGGAATATATAACTCAGGTTTAACCCAAAAAGAACATATCATTTCTCTTGGCTACAGTGATCAGTTCTGGAGCTGACATGTGTCCTAAAAGAAACCAATTAGATTTAGTAAAAATTTGTTGGGAATTTTGGGAAAGAGACTCTTCCTCTATCCCTTGGGACTTAAGATCTGGAGCTGCTACAGCCCCCTTGCCAGTATGAAGAAAATTTCTAATTAAGAATTGGGTCAACATGGAAGGCCTGAGTAGGAAAAAAAGAGAAAATTAAGCCCAGATAAAATCGCTTAAACCTCTAGTATACACATATATATTTCTTTACTTTGTCATCTGAGAGGGCCTAGAAGCAACCACACCCCCATTACAATGAACACTCCAGATCACGATTTTTTTTTTTTTTTTTGAGACAGAGTTTCACTGTGTTGCCCGGGCTAGAATGCCATGGTGTCATCCTAGCTCACAGCAACCTCAAACTCCTGGGCTCAAGCGAT